TGCCCTCCATATCTTTAACTTCAATTTTACCATAGATTTGAGAGGGCTTTCCCCTTTTGGCATGTTGTCACACAATCCAATACCATCTCCTTCAACTGTTTCTCAACATCTTCAATGGGTAAGCTAGCATCTATGGTTTGCAAGTGAGTGCAATGAAACAATTCACCATAGACTTAAAAGCTAAATGAAATTGTATCTGCAGTTATGATATCTTAAGCTAGTAAACTGGATAAATGTAACTTAAACACACATACACACGCACACTAATTGTTTGGCTAACAAAATATATATAAATGAAAATAAAAAACCATCACCGAAATCAACAAAACCCAAGTGTGGTTTGTGCTAAAACATCATTTAATGCCTTCAAAATTTTTTTTTCTTCCCCACTAAAATTGCATATGAAAACCAACATACATCTTGAAAATATACTGCAAAACCATAATTTGTTGTTGAGGCCAAAAAAGATCATAATAAAATCTGAGAGGGCATCTATAGGATGGCATTATAAGGGGTCAAACAAAATAGTTTTCTGGTGAGAGTAACAACACCGGACTATTTTCCATTGGCATTAAAAATAGAAAAAAAATAGCTATTACCTTCCATGAGGCGTCATGGAGCATCTGATGGGAATGGGCAACTTTTTTTTGAAACTCAAGCTACTCATATCTCTTGCCTCCATAGCCTCCTCTTTCAGCAGCCTTCTGGCAATTTCAAATTGACCTTTCAGTTACCCTGATAGTAGTTTTAAATGGTGGACATACACACAGAGGAAACTGATAAATAGTTTCTCTTCATTTACACCATATCATACAACAAAAACATAACAACCCATGGGCAAATCAAGTATTTTTAATCATGACATTCAGCTCACTAATAGTTTGTTATAAGGCTGAAATGAGTCTTAAATAATAAAGCACTCTTGAGTAAATTATCAAACATTGAATGGTTACATCTCCAGACCCACCCATTGAATGGTTATCAACTTCACATCTCCAGACCCACCCAACAATACTGACATCTTTTTAGATTTCTTGTGTGTAAATTGAATGGTTATCAAACATTTTATCCCAATAATTCCAGTTGATGGAATTTAGAGGATAATGGGAATCATCCAAGAAACATTGTAGAGGAATATTAATTTAGGTTATCAACTTCACATCTCCAGACCCACCCAACAATACTGACATCTTTTGAGATTTCTTGTGCGTAAATTGAATGGTTATCAAACATTTTATCCCAATAATTCCAGTTGATGAAATTTAGAGGATAATGGGAATCATCCAAGAAACATTGTAGAGGAATATTAATTTAGAGGATACCATCAACTGGATTTAGAGAATAATTCCAGTTGTGTGCCTACTAATTCCATTGAAACATTTTATCAAACACTTAATAAGCAAGGAATATAGAATGGTTATCAAATGATAGTAAATGGGTTGATTTTGCGAAACCCAAACCCAAAATCAAAATCAAATTCGTGAAACCCAACCAACTCTTCATAAAAGTGTAAGAAAAATCAAATTCTTGTGGCTGGTATGTGAAGGTCACCGATTTGCAAGCCAAAAAAAATCTGTGATCAATATAAGGTCGGCTGGTATGTAATCAATAGAAGGTCGGCTGGTATGTGAACCAGTGCCTGAAGGCTCGGTGTAAATAATGTTAGGATTATAATATAATTGTAATCGCAACACTATTTAAATTTAAGATTAAAATGAAATTATAAAAATATATTTAATAGCCTACACTTTGCAATTCCAACAATATTTAATAGGTTACATCTCCAGACCCACCCATTAAATGGTTATCAACTTCACATCTCCAGACCCACCCAACAATACTGACATCTTTTCAGATTTCTTGTGTGTAAATTGAATGGTTATCAAACATTTTATCCCAATAATTCCAGTTGATGGAATTTAGAGGATAATGGGAATCATCCAAGAAACATTGTAGAGAAATATTAATTTAGAGGATACCATCAACTGGATTTAGAGAATAATTCCAGTTGTGTGCCTACTAATTCCATTGAAACATTTTATCAAACACTTAATAAGTAAGGAATATAGAATGGTTATCAAATGATAGTAAATAGGTTGATTTTACGAAACCCAAACCCCATATCAGAATCAAATTCGTGAAACCCAACCAACTCTTTATAAAAGTGTAAGAAAAATCAAATTCTTGTGGCTGGTATGTGAAGGTCGCCGATTTGCAAGCCAAAAAAAATCTGTGATCAATATAAGGTCGGCTGGTATGTAATCAATATAAGGTCGGCTGGTATATGAACCTAGCGTAGGCCCGTGCCTGAAGGCGCGATGTAAATAATGTTAGGATTATAATGTATTTGTAATCGCAACACTATTTAAATTTAAGATTAAAATGCAATTATAAAAATATATTTAATAGACTACACTCTACAATTCCAAACAAATCAAATATAAAAAAAAATTAAATATCAAATAATGCACACAAGCCAGTACTCTACAATTTAAAAGAAATTAAAATTAAAATGCACACCAATTAGTGTTACTGTTGCCAATCAAATTCTAACTACATAAGAAAAACATACATACCTCAGAATTAACAAAAATAACTTCGGGCAACTTTATTACTTTCATCAACCAATTAGGTTTCCACGACACCATTTATCTCATCCAGACGTTAGAATGAAAAATGAAGGAAATAAAGTACCAATATATATATAAAGCAAATGACAATAGATATACATAACTTCACAAAAATCTGCCAATCCATCATTAAATTCGATTAATAGGGCAACAAACTTCCATTCAGCAAACAATCTTTCACAGGTCCCAGTCAAATTTTGCAGATTGTATCAGTAAGAAACACCATAACTGCGCCACATTAGAGCCAATGGAGACCAAAGTTATCATCCCAGTAATATGTTCATACCTTAAGGCATCAAGTCCTCGTCCATGATAAAAAAAACACAATGCAGGTATTCAACCCAAAGGCACAACAAATCACTAAAAATAAAGGCCCTCACACATCACATAATATATAAAGAATCGAAAATGGATGTGCAGAAAGGCTAAATAAAATTACCCCTCTCTAAAACAGTTAAGCCTTTAAATGAATTGGTCCCAAATAACTTCACATCGAGGCTCTCTTAATAATGAAATTGGGTTGGAAAATGGACAAAGATGATTGAGTTGGGGCATGGTTGGTTGGTCGGATGGAGAAAAAAAAGGGAATGAGAAAAAAATAAAAATAAAAAAAAGGAACAGAGTAACAGTTCTTACCCACCAAAACTGCCACCTAACAGTCACCACTTCAATCCTAGCCACCTCCAACCACTGCTCTCCTTCACTCAACAAAGAGACTAAAATGCTAATCCACTCAACAGAGTCCATCAAACAATTGGCATGCATCAAATACTTAACTATATTAGAGGAGAAGCAAAAACATCACCACCAATTGTCAAAGAAAAAACTGGCTACTCTCATCTATTGCTGTTGCACCCTTACCAAAGTTGAAACATGAACACAGATCCATTTAAGAATGAAGAGAAATAGAACCCACCTGACTGAACTCTCTGGAGAGAGAGAGAGATGGAAAACCCCCAAAAAGAGATAACCCACAAATCAAAGAATCTAACAACCCACTTGAAACATAATTACAAAATTAAAGAAGGGAAAAAAAAAAACAAACAACGAAAAGAAATAAAATCTCAGCCTAAAAAATTCAATTTCCATCTCAAAACACATGCAAACAAACATGGGTTTTAACTTAAAATCTCTAATAATTTTTTAAAGAGAGAAATGATACAAACCTAAGACTCTTAGAACCGTTACAATTAAAGAGATTTATACAAAAAATAAAATAACAAAAACCGATAAAAAAAACCTATTTTTTAAAAATAAAATTAAGAGCACTGAATTATTATTTATTTTAAAAAAAAAACACACACACACACACAAAAAGTTAAGTAAACAAACATACCAATTTTTTTAAAACATAATGTAAACTTAAAATTAACAAACAAAAAATAGAGAAAAGCTTAAAAAAGTGAAACATTAAAATAAAATTAAAAAAAAAACTGAATGTAAACTTAATAAATAATAATTGAATATAAAAATACAAAAGCATAATAATACAACATATAAATAATAAGAGAATAAAAAAACAGAAAGTGTACGTACATACCCAGAGACGATTTTCTGTTTTGTGGTCTTGGCTGTCTTCCCCTACCATCCATCATCAAAACATCATATCAAACAAACAAACCCAACAAAAATTCCCGATTATCCAAAAAAATTTGGTAAACAAATAACAAAATCAAAGATGGGCATTCACAGTGAATAGAGAGAAGTGAAAATGGTGAAGAACCTCACTGATTTGCTATGTATGTCGCCGATCTGCTATGTATTAAAAGTGAGCTCTGAGAGTGAGAGATGAGGGAGAAAACTCAATTTTAAATTTTGAAGAGAGAGAGAAAGAGAGAGAGATGAAAACCCCATTGTAAACTCAATTTGTTTCTTGGACATTTTTTAATCGTTGGATTGAATCAATCCAATGGTTCACATTTTAACAAAGGGACAACAGTCCCATCAGATTTCAAAAATCACTCTCCCTTATTATATATATAGATATATATATATATTTTTCAAACAGCAAACCTCGGGCGGTGCCCAAAAAAAAAAAAAGGAGAGACTTTCTTTAATACGTGCCAGTGAATTTGTTTTAAAGAACATATATATGTACATATTTTTCAAACAGGAAAATGGAGGTAGCATGTTCATGATCAAAATAATTTAAATGAAGATATATTATTGCTAAGGATGATTGCAGCCGGGGGTGTAGCTCAAATGGTAGAGCGCTCGCTTTGCATGCGAGAGGTACAGGGTTCGATACCCTGCATCTCCATGATAATTTTTTCTTTTTTTTTCTAATGCTTATCAGAAACAACAAAAACCCATCTCCTTCATACACAGACAGAGATAGAGAGTGTGTCGGAGAAATCATCACTTTCCATTCGTGCCAGTTCTTTCTAGGGTTTTTTTTTCTAATGCTTATCAGAAACAACAAAAACCCATCTCCTTCATACACAGACAGAGATAGAGAGTGTGTCGGAGAAATCATCACCTTCCATTCGTGCCAGTTCTTTCTAGGGTTTCCAAATGGCGGTGCCCCTTTTCAACATCACCCCTGATTTAACAGTCTCAAGACTCTGCTTGGGTTTGTCCTCTCTCTCTCTCTCTCTCTCTCTTCACTACTATATGAATTTGTAGTCCAACCACAGCTACATTCTTGGGTATTGACTGTGCTTTTTTTCTCACAGGAACAATGACCTTTGGCGAGCAAAACTCGTTGCCTCAGTCGTTTCTACTCCTCGACAAAGCTTTCAATTCTGGAATCAACTTCTTCGATTCTGCTGAAATGTATGTAATTCCCTCCCTCTGACTGTTCAATTCGTTTCTCAATTCAACTTCTTTTAGCTTGGCAAACCCAATTTAGTGTCTTTCTTGGTGAAAAATAAAAAAATAAAAACTCAGGTACCCAGTGCCCCAGCGTGCTGAAACTCAAGGGAGGAGCGAGGAGTATCTGGGTCGTTGGATGAGAGAGAGAAAAATTCCTCGCGATTGCGTGGTCTTGGCTTCAAAGGTCTATCTTTCTGTACATTCTATGTATCTTTGGTTCTATTTTAGTCTTTGATCATAGACATGTACTTGCCGTGTGGCCTGTCTTTTTATTTTTGAATATATTTGAAATAGTACTAGTCTATTATACACACCCTTGAGCTAAACTCTTCAAGAACCCTCTTTGGATTCCTCTTGAAAAAGTTCAATTCTACAGCATTTGTTTATATGGGTGTGCCGAATTGAACACATATAAAGGGATATCTTTGTGAGGCTTTCTTGGTCCCGTCCCTTGCCCCCACATACATCAACAAACAAGTTATTCAGGTGTGTTTATAGGACATTATCGGATTTCTGGATATAACTATGGTAGGTGTAGCAGTTTCAGAACCAGTGCACAATTTAGAATTGTCAAAATTCTGTCTCTCAGATTATTACGAGAAGAAATTTTGCCTAGTGTGGTGCCTAATTTACTAGAATTTTTTTTGTTTCCATAGATTATGTGAATATCATTTCTACTCTTTTTAATGTCAGCTAGAGTTTTCTTGTTTTGAATCGAATTATTTTCCTTGGAGTTACTTCTCAATCAATTCCATTCTTGAATTTGAAGTTTTTCTATCAAAAAACATGGAGTTCCAATATTATCCTGAATGGTTTTGATACAGGTAAGTGGGCCATCTGGAAAAATGACTTGGATTCGAGGTGGACCCATGTGTCTGGATGCAGGGAATATTACTGAGGCCATTGACAACAGGTTTTCTCACACTCAAGTATATTCTAGTGTCACATTTTTCTTGAATGAAGGGATCTTTGTAAGAATGCTATAATATTATATCAGGTTGTGTGGCAACTTACTGACTTCATAAATTGATGCAGCTTGTTCCGCATGCAGACTGATTACATTGACCTTTATCAAATTCATTGGCCCGATCGGTTTGTATGTTGATCCTACCCTAAGAAGCATGGACACGGACACGCGACACGACACGGATACGACACGGACATGCCGACACGCTAATTTTCAAAAAATGCAGGACACGACACGTGGGGGACACGCATAAAATATATAATTCTATATATATTTATTATATGTTATATATATGGATATATCATTCAAAGATAATGAAAAATGCAATATGACACTAATTCCTATAAATTCATATGGTTTTTGTTTTATTTTGTATCTTAAATTGTTTTGTTCAAACTTATAATTAGTTTCACCTATGTCTAATTGATGGACACGTGTGTTTAAGCGATAAACACATGTGTCCTCCAAGTGTCTAAAGAGTGTTCGGATCTTTAAGAAAAATTAAAAAACAGGACACGTTTTGAGGAGTGTCGGACATGTGTCGGGAAGTGTCCGAAGAGTGTCGGTGTCCGACACGGACACGACACGGATACGTCACCTTCTTAGAAGTGTCCGTGCTTCTTACCCTTTGTTTACAAATACTGTGTTGGTAGTAAAGAACAAATAGATAAACAAGTTTTTTATTTGTAAATCATGGATAGATTCCTCATTTTAGTTGCCAAATGAACTTCTATTTCACATTTTAATTGTTTCTCTTCACTATTGTTGAGGTGCTCCGTTGCTTTTCATGTAGGTATGCTCCCATGTTTGGAGAAACTAAGTATGATCCAATTCTACAGTTTCATTCAATAGACATAGCAGAGCAGCTTGATGCTCTAGGCAGAGCTGTTGATGCTGGTAAGGTTAGTGGTGATATCAGTGGTTTTGCTGCTTCTGTAGCAATATCTTTGCACCATGCAATTTATAATTTTTCTAATGGTCGAAGATGTTGTTTGTAGATCAGATACGTTGGGCTCAGTAATGAAACGCCATATGGTGTCATGAAGTTTCTTCACACTGCCAAATGTGGACCTGGCTTTCCAAAGATAGTATCTTTACAGGTATTATATGGTCAATTCTGGATAAAAAATTAGCAACCCATCATTGGCGTGTGTGTGTGCATGTGCCATCTGCAAGGCTAATTTATAACTCATTTTCTTTGTTCCAGAATTCATACAACTTACTTTGCCGAAATTTTGATTGTGGGTTGGCTGAATGCTGTCATCATGAGAGGTATACTATATGTTATATGGATATATTGGTTAGTAATGGTGCCTTATAATTTTTGTACTGTGATGTTTTCCCTCTCTCACCATTAGACCGTTTTCAGGGTGAGCTTATTGGCCTATAGCCCTCTGGCAATGGGCATACTTTCTGGAAAGTATTTCTCACCTGATGGGGGTCCAGCTGATGCTCGTTTGAATCTTTTTGAAGGTTGAATCACTAACTTGTTTTGCAACGTACTGGTGAATCTATCTCATTGCTCCATTTCTTTTGCCCAGGGAGGTATTCAGAAGGGGAATCCAGATACAACCTGTCCAATACCATTGTAAAAAATGCCACCAAAGTAGGCAAATTGTTCACACACCAAGAATTAGTTTATTTTTGTAGCAGCTCAAAATGGAGATACTGTGTAGATAATATCTTCTTCTTGAAATTGTGAAGTATTTGACTGTGATAAAAAAATGGAAAAGATGATAATCACCGACTTGTTGGAGTCTTTCATTAAGCTCAAGATTGTTTATAATTATATTATGCATGCGTAACCTGTTTTTTTGCAGGCATATATTGACATTGCACAAAAATATGGTCTTCACCCCGTATCTCTTGCAATTGGTATGATAACAATCTCTCCCCCTGTGCACTCACAGTTGCTCACCTCCCTATATTTTGATCAATTTTTAAAGGTTTTACAATGGTCTCTGCGTAAAACTGTGGATTAGAAATTTAAAAGTCACTTGACCATACTGAAAGCCAGCTAAAAAAGTCACTTTTTTTGGATTTGTGTAAAAAAAATTTACTTTTCAGGTCTAATCTAAAAAAGGACCCAAAAAATTCAAAAAAAGTAACTAGATTTTTTTCAAAAATTTTCAAAAAAAAATCTTCACTTTAAGTTCTCCTAGACTAGATAGCTCAATAAAATCTTCATGTATGCATTTTTTAATGTGTATCAAATTTTCATATCCTTTGTTTATAGTGTGGTATGTTCTTGGTGTAGCTTATTGATGACATAAGTACGTTGCACTATGTATTTGACTCGTCAACTGTTAACTCTTGGTTCCTTTGGGCAGCCTTTGTTTTGAAACACCCTCTTGTTGCCAGTGCTGTTTTTGGAGCAACAAAGTTGTGGCAGCTGCAACAAGTCCTGGATGCATGCAAGATGGAGCTTAATCCTGAAATCATTGCAGATATTGACAAGGTTCATACGACATACCCAAATCCTTGCCCCTAATCCACCTTGATATATTTTTTTACTTTCTCATTCAGGAATTTTGGTAATTTGTTTGTCATGTGATCTGTGCATAGGCAAATGAATTATTGTTGTAACGACTATTGCAGTCAATTGATTTGATTTGATTTTGTCAAGAGTAGAAAAGATCCTGAAATTGGGAATATTATGATAATGTTTTTCTTATCCAAATTCTCCATCCTCCAATATGGAAACTTTGTGAGTCCTTGAAAGTATTTATTTTTCCAATCAAAATATAGATGTATAATGATATGCACCATATTGTTAGATGTTTTGAGTTTGAAAGTCTATTCAAATTTTTTTATTTACAAAATTTTGAATTTATAAAACACATAAATAGTTATTGGTTTCATTAATCAATATGGTAACTATTAAGCAGCTTGTTTGGAATGACCACTATAGATATTTTCCCTGGGTGGTGCTCTGTTCCCCCATATGTATCCGTATTCAATTCAGTGATGGTTTCATCTTCGAATAACTCATCTTCATCTGTAGATAGGGTGTGGGCCTAAACATACTGTCCTCATCAGCCATTGCCCACATGAACATCCTTTAAAGACCGTCTCAGGATCACCCTCCCCATTATTGATCTGGGCAGCCCCTTAAATCTTGAATGTCGGCCTCTGCAGTAGTCTGATAGTGTTTTTTGGTGCTTCGAATAGAGTAGTTCTTATCTGGGTTTGCTTGTTTATACCTTTCTCATGTTTGGTATCGTTTTTCTTGGTTATTTTTGTTTTTTGGAAAAATTATTTTTGAATAATGTCCAGCTTAGTTACGGCTTAGAATATTTGGAATAGTAAGCCAGGGGGTCCCATACGAATACGAACTTTTCTGTTTGTCTTAGTTAGCATTTGTCGCTAGTTCATGGAGGCTAATGTTGACTGAGCATTGTCTGGAGTTTTCTCGATGCTCCCACCAAGCATATATGGAGTCAAATGTTGATTGAGGCTCTCTCTGTGATTCTTGGAAGTTGCTGTGTTCTGAGATGGCCCACGAAGAACAATCCAATCGGAGAAGACTGGTTAGGTGCTACTTTGGAGCTCCGTCGTTTTTCAATGTGCAGATACCATCGAAACGTATTAGTGATGGATCTTCTGCGTCACTCTCGCCCACTCATCTACATATATATTATATATTTTTTTGATAGGGTGATTATATATGGGAATTTAGTCATAACTTCTTCATAATAAAATTTTAATATATTAAGGGTAAGTATAAAAAAAAAATTAAAAAAAGTTTTAACATATGCCGCCATAATTAAAATATTAAATTTTAAAATAATATAATTTTTGATCAATATGTCAGTTTTTTAATAAAATTAGTATTTTTAGAATTTTTTCATCATGATCTATCTAATAAGATCCACCTGGATTGCGAAATTCTTAAAAATAAAAAATATTATTGTTAAAATTGATGTAAACATTAATATATTACTCTGTTTGACAGTAACATATTACCATGGTTTACAGTAACAGGTTATTCTGATAATATTGCCCAAAGAAAAAAAATTATTTTACTTTGTCTTGTTGGATTTTGGTTAAATTTTCTATTATATTTTTATATCATATTTGGATATCATTTGATATATTAAAAATTATTATATAATTTGGGAATATTATGTGATAAAAAATTGCAAAATACTAGGTAAATTATTCTTGTATCTTTCATTTACTTTAATAAATATGAGTTGAAATTGTCTCATTTTTGCACACAAATTTCACTATGTTAAGGATAAATTTATTATAAGTGAGATTTGAAAACATATATGATTTTCAAAAAATGAGGTAACGTGATGAAAAAGTATGAAATTTTAAAAGTCAATCGAATTTTAAGTTTTCAAATTCTATTCTCCTATTTTCTTCTCCGATTCACAACTTACAAAAAGAAAAAAATAAGATAAAAATAAAATTGAAAAACAATGACAGAGGGGTCATCTCCCATGATTAACGTAGGGAATACACAAACAAATATATAAGATAAGTAGAAAAATTGAGGTATTATTGTTTTATCTCACCTCTCTATTTTTTTTTTTCTTTAAATTTTTTTTCTTTTTCTTTTTAGTCAATGGAATTGAAATCTAACCAACTCTTTTTTTCTTTGGTTTACACAGGTGGAGACAAACTTGTTAACAGAAATCAAAAGACTATTATACAAAGTATGAAAGAAAAATAAAGAAATACTAACATATGGTTGGGTTAAACAACGAAGAAGAAATGAACAATAGGACAAGCTAGTATGAAAGCAAGATTATTTAGAGCTCCGCATGGCTGAGTATTCATCTGATTATGTCATTCTATGTTTTTTAAAGAAAATATATTAGTGTATGGATAAATTTATTTCTTAGATTACGTTTAAAAGCATGATTAACAATCACATTTTGTTAAAAATAATTAAATATGATTAATAATAACATTTAAAAAAAGAAGAAGTGATTAACAGTAATTGTGTGCAAAAAAATTAGTCCACAGTGGAATGCTAGATAATTGCGTTGGATTTTTTTTTTTTTGATCGGCATATACTCTCCAATGACTTGCAAGGTATTCTGTTGGGAGTCAGTACTTGCAATGAACTCTCAATAAAAGTAGTTACTTCCCAAACACCACTAAATATAATGAATAATATTAGAAACTCCAAATATTTTCCTTTTACTAAATATTGTATCAAATGTCACACATGAACCCTATAAAATATTTGGTAAAATATTTAGAGTCTCTAGCCTTATTCAAATATAATTGTTTATAATTGCATATTTTGAACCGAAGGCTAAGAAACTTTTTTTTACCTTACTAAGTTTTTCATTGAGAGTTTTATGCAACTGTTTGCATACATTGTTGTGTGTCAGACAAAATGATCATCTCTTACCTGACCTTGGCCATCCAAAACTAATTGGCTGGCCGAATATTTGATCAAACATTTTATTCAAACAACTGTCCATGAGACTTGTGAGGACATATTTTTTGGATAGTAACACATGGCCAAGGTGGCACCGAAGTGCCAGCCGAGGTGCTATGTGTCCTTAACCTGATGCCGAGGTAATCTCGGCTAGGCCGAGGCTATCTGCGGAGATACGGGAATCCGAGATGAGCAGATAAGTTATAAGAGTCCCAGAATGAGGGAGGACTTCAGCTTGGATAAGAATAAATCTTTTAGGGAGTTTATCTTTATCTATTTAAGAGTCCTGGATAGGCATTGAACCAGAGTCCATTGAAACTAGGCTTTTATTGGGATCAGGTCAGTATTGGTTATAAAAGTAAGGCACCCTCATAGGTCTAAGGTATGTTTTTTGTATTCTAAATAGTGAGTTAAGCACTTTTGCTATCTTTGAGAAATAACTGACTTAATCGTCGGAGTGCCCTCGGGTGGACAAGCCACCGTCGGAGTTCTTTTTCTTTCTGTGACAGGTTGTTTGGACGCAATCTATTCTGCCAGTGTTCTCCAGCTAAGTACCTGTTTGGCAGTGTGGTCAGAAAACAACACACACAATTTGGCGGCGTCTGTGGGAAAGAAAGGAGAATAGATGGCCAACGACGGACAGAAAGAAAAGGTTAAGGACGGCATCCCTACTGGGAGTAGTAAGCACATTGACCCTGACGTGGAGGAGGATAACTGCAACGAAGAAACTCGGGATCAGAATCAAAGAGAAGGACGTCGGCAAGGAGGGCAACGTACCAAAGAAGTTAGACCGGTGCGGGTATTATAACGAGGATGACCTCTAGGTATGGAAGGATAGATGCAGGGACTGGCGAACAAATTGGCGGACCTGCAGTTGGTCATCAATTCCATGATGTAGAATAACGTCATACAGCCACCATTCCTGTTACAAGACACGTCGATTCCAGCGGCCAAAAACAATACCCAGAAAGGGGGGCAGAAAACAATCCCTACAGCCCCTAGCACACCAGGACCGAAGAACACTCTCACTGGGTCGGGCGAGGAGAGTCAAGAAAGGGAGATTCTCGAAGGACGCATCGTACCAAGGAAGCCGGCCCCAGAGAACATCGGCATGTTCAAGGGAAAGAATTGTGTTTCGACACAACTAATGAAGAAAGGTCCAAGAGGACTCATAATGATACTGGGAGTAGCGCACCAAAAAGGCTGAAATTCGTTGATAGCCGAGCTCCTAGACGAACCAAGGAAGATCTGAGAGATTACCTCCAGAGGAAATGACAAGATGCCGAGGTAACCTCTCTGGTCAAGCCGAGAACGCCGTTCTCGATGGAGTTGGACAAATTTGAGGCCCCGAAAAGGTTCCATATGCCGAGATTCCAGATATACAATGGGAAGTCAGACCCTAACTTTCACGTCGGCCTGTACCTAAACTCAATGGCACTATACATCGGGAACGAGCCGTTACTCTGCAAAGTGTTCCCCTCATCATTTGGGGAAATCGCATCAGACTGGTTTTACAAGTTGCCGAAAGGAACTGTGAAAAGTTGATAAGGCCTGGTCGAGATGTTTATGGCCAGGTTTGTGACAAACAAACTACAACCATTAAGGGTGGACGCCCTGATGGCTCTGAGAATTGGTGAGGATGAAAGCCTTAGGGCCTATGCCAAAAGGTATTATGAGTTGTTCAACCGGATACCAGGATGCAACCAAGAGATGGCGGTCGTGTCTTTTAAGAACGGCTTGAAAGATGATTGCCTGCTTCGAAAATCATTGACAAAAACATTACCAAAAATTATGGGGGAACTTATGGCCAGGATAGAAAAATATGCCAGGGCTAAGGAGAACACGTGCGGGGACAAAGGTATCGAAACAAGAGAAGAAAAATGGCTCGCCGAAGCGAGGTCGAGGTAATGGTGGATACAATAAACCAGAAACAGGACTAAGGGCTGCACAAACAGTCACAACCGTATTCCAAATTCCGGTCTACAAAGTCTTGGAAAGAATTCAGAATCAGCCCTATTACAGAGCACTAGAAAAGCTTCCTGGTGAATTTATGGGAAGAAGTCTGGGGAAACATTGTGCCTACCACAATGAGGATGGACATCTAACTCAAGGGTGCAGAGCCCTAAAGACACATATGGAAGACCTGGTAAGACAGGGTCATCTAAGAGACCTGATAGATGAGACCAAGACAAGGGAAGAACAAGCGAGACTGCCTCAGGCACCGGCAGCACCACCCCCACCAGCACAATAACTGCAAGCTGGCGGACCTCGAGTGATCAATGTGATTCACTCGAAAGTAAATGAAAACAAGATACGTGGGGAAACACAGAAGGTAAAAGGTTTGGCAGAAGAGACCTAGGGCAGACGAGTGCCAGGGACCAGTGGTGTCCTTTACTGAAGATGACCTAGAGATGGTGCAGTATCCACACAACGATGCCTTGGTAATATCCCTTCAGATTGGAGAATACCAGGTAAAGCGAATTCTGATCGATCAGGGCAGCTCTTGTGACGTCATGTATGTCAGGTGTTACAAGGAGCTTGGCCTTCACCAAGACGATCTGGAACAATCCAATGGTCCAATGGTCGGGTTCAATGAAACGTCGACGTGGCCTCTGGGGGCAGTAAGTTTGGACGTGCATGCTGGCACCAAGAAGGTAAAAACTGAGTTCACAATAATTGACACACCTTTCCCTTACAATGTTATCCTGGGAAAGCCATGGTTGTATGCAATGGAGGTTGTTCCCTCAACATTACACCAGCTATTGCGATTCCCAACAAAGCATGGAATTGAGGAGGTCAGAGGGGATCAAGTGCAGGCAAAGAATTGTTCTATGGCAGCAATGAAATCCACCTGCAATATTCGAGAAACAGAAGCAGCGGAGGTTGAAGACGAGGGCATAGAGGTCCTTGAGGACGTCAGCAAAGAACCAGCCGAGAAAAGTGAAGAAGCCCTGAAAAAGATCTTAGTCCAGTAAGAGGATCAGAAGCGCTTCTTCCTTCTCGGCTCAGGATTGGTCGAGGAAGAGGAAAAGGAGTTAGAGGCATTCCTGAGAGCAAACCTTGAGGTGTTTGCATGGACACTATACGAGATGCCTGGCATTGACCCCGAGGTCACTTGCAATAGACTGAATGTAGACAGGTCGGCCAAACCTGTCATCCAGCGAGCAAGGAAGCCGACGGTAATGCATATTGAGGCAGTAGAAGAGGAAGTGGATAAACTTCTGGAGGCTAAAGCCATTCGAGAGGTAAACTACCCAACATGGTTGTAAAACACGGTTGTAGTAAAGAAAAAGAATGGGAAGTGGAGGGTCTGTGTGGACTTCACCAGCTTGAACAAAGCTTGTCCTAAGGACAGTTTCCTACTGCCCAAAATTAATCAATTGGTGGATGCCACTTCAGGGCATGGAAGGATGTGCTTCCTGGATGCTTATAGAGGATACCATCAGATAGACATGGACCCCTCAGATGAGGAGAAGGCTGCATTTATCACCCTAAAAGGGCTGTATTGCTATAGAGTGATGCATTTTGGGTTAAAAAATGCATGATTAACTTACCAGAGATTGGTGACTAAGATGTTCATACATCTAATTGGAAAAATTGTGGAGGTATACATTGATGACATGGTCGTGAAGACCAAGGAACCTGAAGATCATCTGGCCGACTTGAAGACAGTCTTTGACATCCTAAGGACATTTCAGCTCTGACTAAATGCATCAAAGTGTGCATTTGGAGTTGGGTCAGGGAAGTTCTTAGGATACTTGGTCACCAGAAAGGGCATTGAAGCAAGCCCGGATCAAATCAAGGCCATCTTGGAGTTAAAGAGCCCGACGTCGGCAAAACAAGTGTAGATGTTGACTGGAAAGGCTGCAACCCTAAACAGATTCATAAGTAGAAATTCTGACAAATGCAAACCTTTCTTCAGCTTAGTAAAGAAAGCCACAGACTTCTTATGGACAAAGGAATGCGAAGTCACCTTGGCCTACTTGAAGAAATGCTTGACTACAGTTCCAGTTCTCTCAAATCCAGTACCTAGAGAGGAGCTGTTCTTATACTTGGCGATTTCAGAGCATGTAGTAAGTGCAGTAATAATTAGGGAAGATAAGGGAGAACAGAGGGCAGTCTACTACGTAAGTAAAACCCTAGCAGATGTAGAGACCAAATACCTAATTTGGAAAACTGATTTTAATCAAAAAGCGCCAAACATGGACTGCTTTGCCAGATTTCAGAGTCGCCACCTAAATATTTTGTTTTTGGGAAATTTAGAAAACCCTGACTCGTGCCTAA